TTATTGTAAATATCAATTTTGAGTGAATTATCTTCAGTAGTTACTAAAATATCGCAGTTTTCGTATTTCTGGAAATTACCGTTATATGGGAAGTGGGCGTGGTTATTGTCCGATTTTCAATACCAACCTACCTTGGATTAACAGAAACCTACATACCAAATTTCGTTGAGATATCTCAATTTTTGCTCGAGTTATCGTGTACACGGACGGACGGACAGACAGACATGGCTTAATCGATTTCTTTTTTCATCCTGATCATTTATGTATACATTTGTCTATATCTATCTCGATTCGTTTTGGCTGTTACAAACAACCGTTATGTGAACAAAATTAATATACCCTTGTGCACAAGTGCGCTCGGGTATAAAAATTATAAATCGGAAGGGTAAAATAGTATTGTGTTATTAATTCAAAAATAAAAAGTTTCATTTCACAGACGAAGGGGGGGGAGGGGATCTATCCCCAAATCCCCCCTGGCCACGCCACTGCATCGGATTGATTAATTTTTTGGGCAATGCGACCAAAGATATTTGGACTTTTCAGCGGGAAATCGCTGTTATTCACAGAATGCAAACAACAAAATAGGTATTAAAGGAAAGAAAACCCCACTTTTTGAGTTTCTAGCTTTAAATCAGGGCTTGAATTCCCCTGAGGAAATTACGAAAATTCTTTCCCGTTATCTTACCGGGCTCGGGATATTATAGGCCGTGATATAACATGGAAAAATAATAAAACGGTTTTTAGTATGAAAATAGCTCATTAATATTCAAGTTTTTAACACCCAGTTGTCAATGTACTTTTTTGTTGAGAATTTATGACACTGCAGCAATCGGAAGCCGAATAACTCCATATACACATATAATTATTTTATATTGAATGTAATACTGATTGCTGACACGGTAGATAAAATTATACACGAATACCAACCTAGTGTATGGAAAATACTTATAAACCAAGGGCTATTATAACTGCATACCATAAAAAACGTTACCCCTATTTAATACAGAGAAATCGGGGAAAAATATGATGCACATATAATTCTTTTAGTAAGGTACATGCATGTAATTAGGTGGAAAAACTAAAATAAAAAATCGTCATTATGGGGGGAAAAATCGTCAAAACGTCATTGAGCTAAAAAAAACGTCAAAATGACGACGAAATCGTCAATTTGGCAACGCTGCTTGAGACTTACACCACTAACGACGAAATTTTTGAAGCTATCAACAAATTTGTACAGAAAAATGGTTTGAAATGGAGCAAGTGTACGGATATTTGCAGTGGTTGGAAAAAGATAGCAGCGATGTCTAGGATGAAGGAAGAATCAGAAAACGCCACGATAAGTCCCTGTATGATCCGTCGGCATTACTTGGCGACTAGGAAGATGTCGTCACAGAGGCCTGTGAAATTAAAATACATCTTTGGTTTTTTCTAGCACGTCGAGATTTTTCTTATTGGTGACATGTATGTATATTTTAGAATTTCTAGCAATTTGCATGAAAACCCCATAAATAAACAAAGTAAATCAGAAAAACGTACATATGTAACTTCGAAGTTAACGCTAAGAAAATTGATAACATTCGGTTTCACCACCAATTTAAATGGAAAATGATTTTTTATTTTCTGTCAATTTCAATATTAAAAAAATTAAAGTCATTTTTCACTTAAATTGCTTTCGTGAAATTGGCTGTAAAAGTTATTTTTTTAGCGTTAACGAGCATTACCAGCGTTAACTTGGAAGGTTTAGAAAAAACCATTGTCGACTATTTTCCCAACATTGACTCTGAGGATGTCTACAGCTAGAAAACAAACCCGTTTTCATGTGACCTGAAAAGTAAATCTACTGAGATGACAAATTAAGCTTTTGATAACCTTCTGGACATCAGTGACGACATCACTTTGAATATTAAATACTACGAAAGGAGCCAAGAGAGTTCTGGATGCAAGTGTATGCAGAAAACGCTGCTGTTTGCAAGATTGCATTAAACTTTTAGTGACTTTTACTTTTACATTTCTATGTGAGACTGCATTTTCAACAAATGCTTACATAAACAAGTAATTTTTAAGCAAAAAACACAACCGACTTCAATTCCCATATAAAAATTTAAGATTATCGTTAATCTCTTCATGATCCAATGATCGAATTTAAACCAAATTAGAATGGGACCGCATGTGAGGTAACACCTTTCCTTTGAAAAAAAAAAGAATTATAGTAATCGGTTACCGTAGTCCAAAGTTATGCGGTAGCATACATAAAAATAATAATAATAAAAAAATATTCCGACGAATTGGNAGAACTGCCCATGCATCCCGAAAAATGCACTGTTTGGTGTGGTTTGTACGCTGGTGGAATCATTGGACCGTATTTTTTCAAAGATGCTGTTGGACGCAACGTTACGGTGAATGGCGATCGCTATCGTTCGATGCTAACAAACTTTTTGTTGCCAAAAATGGAAGAACTGAACTTGGTTGACATGTGGTTTCAACAAGATGGCGCTACATGCCACACAGCTCGCGATTCTATGGCCATTTTGAGGGAAAACTTCGGAGAACAATTCATCTCAAGAAATGGACCGGTAAGTTGGCCACCAAGATCATGCGATTTGACGCCTTTAGACTATTTTTTGTGGGGCTACGTCAAGTCTAAAGTCTACAGAAATAAGCCAGCAACTATTCCAGCTTTGGAAGACAACATTTCCGAAGAAATTCGGGCTATTCCGGCCGAAATGCTCGAAAAAGTTGCCCAAAATTGGACTTTCCGAATGGACCACCTAAGACGCAGCCGCGGTCAACATTTAAATGAAATTATCTTCAAAAAGTAAATGTCATGGACCAATCTAACGTTTCAAATAAAGAACCGATGAGATTTTGCAAATTTTATGCGTTTTTTTTAAAAAAAAAGGTATCAAGCTCTTAAAAAATCATTTAGTAATCGGTTACCGTAGTCCAAAGTTGTGCGGTAGCATACATAAAAATAATAATAATAAAAAAATATTCCGACGAATTGGTAACCTTCTCCATTTTGTGAAGTCGGTTAAAAACCAATACACCAGCAAGCTTTCAGCGTCAAATGGTTTCAGGGTAAAATTGTCAAAGCTCCCAATAAACATAAGGAAAATAAGGAAATCATCAAAACAAGTTCGGTCCTCACATTAAAGCTAAAGGAGCATAAAGTTTGTATTGTGTTTTCTTGTTTTCGTAGACATTTGAAGTGTAGGGGTGCCGCGAATTTTTTTTTACCACAACAAGGGTGCCGCGGTGAAACGGTTTGGGAACCCGTGCTATAAAGAATGAAGTTTTGTGAGTTAAAAACTCGAAAGGAGAAAATAGTAAAAAATTCAAAGTACAAATTGTTCATATAATGAAACTAGTTCATAGTAAAATAAACTTTTCTAAAATAAATGTATTTTTTTTAATTATTTTTCGGTTTCTTTCTTTTTAGTGCCTTCTTTTGCCTTTTTTGTGATTTACAGTGCCTTTTATGCCTATTTCGCTTATTTTATTTTGCCTTTTCAAGCCTCTTTCGTTATTTCATTTTGCTTTTTTTATAGGTTTTTAGGTCCTAAAAATCCGTTCCCTGCTTATAACCTACTTACATACAAATCTTTTTCACTCCTCTTTTAACTACTACTTACCTTTGTATAAACACCAGCGCTGCTTAATTCATTCTCAATCACCATTACTATTATGCCAAACATGCCCATTACAAGAGCATAATCACTAATACGTTTTCTTTTCTCAAATAGAGCTTTTCGTTTACCTAGCCTGTATCCGACATTAGGTTTGTGCTTTGCTGAAATCGTTGAAGGTTTCCGCGATGTATTACCGCCTGTGAGAGCACGCTCCTCCATATACCTGCGCGATGTGATGAAAAATAAATAGATATGTAGATTCATTCACTTACATAAGTATATCACAGAAAGTGCAATAAGATCAATACGAATACATTTATTTTGCTTAAATGTGTAAGAAACATATTTACTTAATATAAATAAATGTATATATGGTCAACTAAAAATTTCCAACCAAATACTCGCAAATGATAACCCGGCAAAACTCTTGCAAACGAATCGAGTAGCGATATCAATATGATGTAAGAATCATAAAAACCAAGATTGCGCCCATCAGAAAGGATTTTTGAAAACAATATTTGTGTGGCGTCAAACTGGTGAAGTTGCGATCGAGAAATGTCAAAATGCGAGTAAGAATGCAAGAAGAAGAAGAAATTTTGCAAGAAAAATGTTAACAAATTGCACAAGTGTGACGCATAGTGAAACGAATACAGAAGGTGGCGCTGATCGTGATACCGCTACCTCTCTCTTGAAAATTTTGACGGAAGTGTGACGTCATGGCAGGTTTTGTGTATTGCCTGTGTAATAAACATATACATATACAAAACTTATACATACTGACAGTTCTCTCTCAGCTCTCTCCACCGGAAAATCTGCGATGACGTCATATTCAGTGGTGCCATTTTAGCCGTTTTCCGGCTAGATTTAGCCGGTTGCGATAGCAAACAGCCGGAAAAATTTCGGTTTAGCCGGCAGCAGATTTGTTAGCCGTTTTGTAAAAAAAATTAGCCGTTTTTAGCCGATCTTGCTATTTGGCTTGTTTTCTTAAAATTCAACTATATACGTTTCCATTTTTGACTAAGCGATCCAAAATCTGTTAGAAGTGGCTGCTAGCCTTATCGCGGAGAACATTTTCATGTCAGGTAGGGTTATATTTTATATAACCAGTAAAATTGGGCCGATTTCGCTTATTTTTATTTTAAACGAATATATTTTTTCTAAAGAAGGCCGTAGCGGGGATTTTCTTCAAAAAATGTTTGTCATGAATGTCTTTAATTAAGTGTGAAGTTTTATTCGCAAACTTAGAAAATAACAAATTGTTTCACTGTTTGCTTAAAACGCGTTTGTGTTTGGATATAGTGCCAACGCATAGAATAAATATAACAGGTATTGCCTTCCCAGATAGCGCATATTCAATTCTGCCTTAACTAAAAAACATCATTGTTGCCCACGCTTAAAGGTTTGAGGTAAGGGAAAAATTGATATTTTCAAGCAGTATGTACATATATGTACATACATATGTATTAAAAAAAAAAATTTGCTGAGAACTTACCCTGCAAACCATTTTTTCAGAGTATTCTAAATTGTAGGGAAATTTTATAGAATTCCTAATTTCAGAGAGCCAAAAAACAGGATCTACATGTATATTTCTCATTAGTCCGACTTTCTTCAACATACGTTTCAATTTCTATGTAGTAGTAACTGTCGGGTTTCCTATATCGACTCTGGTTGAGATTGTATTCGGATTACGAATACAGTTTTTTTCAGCCGAGTACCTTTCATTCACCATTGGAATTAACTAAATTAATTAAGTTAACAAGTATTTACTTACATTTTTCATTTTAAAATCGCTCAAATTTGTAAATTTTTAAATTTAACAAACTTGTTTATTCAAATTATCGTCGACAAAAAATCCAACCATGTGCACAATCATATGTTTTTCCTAATTGCAAAATTTTTTGCAGCTTAAACTTGCAACTTCTCCCCAAGAACTAGTCTTTCTACTTGTGATTTATTTAAATAAAACATGTGAAATTTATTTGAAACAGTTTAGCCCTTTTTTAGCCGGTATTTTTTTGCCAATTTAGCCGGTTGGTCCAAAAAGTTTTGGCAACAATAATCATATTCACGTTACTCTCCCAAATTTTACATCAATCAGCGCAATCTTGTATTCTATCGGTCTTGAGTGGGACAAATACAAAGAGCGATTGTGTCAAATTCACTGAGAGCGGAATACCGGTACGAGATGGGTGGCACCTTTGCTCTCTACATCGTGAATATGATCAGTGTCGCCAAACATGGGCTTTTCCTACCAAACCTGGTAGGTTTTTTTCCATTTGGTAGGTTGGTAGGCTAGATTGGATTTTGGTAGGTTCCGGACATTAATAATTATTTGCGAAAAATATAAAATATGTGTTTCCAAACATTTTAGAAATCTTGTTTACACGAATGTTTCATCGGTGCCTTCATATAACGGCCTCCGTAAATATGTAAATATACATAACTGGTTCTTCTACTCGGTTATATTGAACTAGGGTAGAGCCAACAAGCATAAACGGTCAATTTTCAACTCGAGTTATAAAACCCAATACAACCCTGGCTAACACTTCTAAAATCGTTTATGTACAAATTTCAACCCGTGTTAAGATTTCTACCGGTGTAGAAAAAATGTGTATATTCTACCCAAGTAGACTTGCTAACTCAATTAAAAAAAACTGTTTAGGCATGTGGGTTGAATTTACCCGAGTAGAATATAACCGTGTAGAAAAGAAGCAAACATATAGTATATGTAAGTATGTACAATATGAACATCCAAGGTATATACTTTATGTGCCTACAACATAGTTTCAATTGAACTCAACAGAAACTACGTATCGCACACGTTCTTCAAAAGTGACACAAATCAAAATCACACGTTCCTCAGAAAATGCGAAAAACTATTTCGTAGCACATGCTAATCATCTTGGTAGTCTCCCTTGCCAATAGGTTTTTTAACAAATTATAGGAAAAATTTGCTCCAGCTTTTGCTTAAAGGTAAATAAGAGCTCTGTGTATATTTTTAGTGCATAATTTGAAAAAATCCAAATTTTGAGCTGTGTCACTTCTGAAGGTCGTGTGCGATATGTAGTATGTATATGTCCTGAAGACCAGCGTGCTGAAAAGGGCTTATCAATAAACCCACTGAAGTCCACCACAGACACTGGTCCGCGTGTCCATCATAGGAGCTATGTGCACCTGTCCAACGGAATGCCCTTGGTGTCATTACAGTGCGTTCCTTCTTTGTCTATTTTGTTTAAAAAATAGACCTGCTGGAGCGCCCTACTACTGTCCAATATGATCGGGAAGAAAGTTATCCTTCTACAAACCATACAAGGTCAGAATTCCTAAAAGGGACTGCTGTGAAGTGATAATAACTATAATTGACGAAGGGTCCCAAGTATGGTATACCGACGGATCAAAGATGGACTACGAGAGTACTATGGCAGGCGTATTTGGACCAAGATTCCAGGCAGAAGTCTTCGTAATCGAAGTCTGTGTAGAGGGCCCATTTGTCCAAAACAAATATTATGTCGGATATTCAGGCAGAATAAAAGCCTTAGGTTTGTGGACAGCTGTAACTCTTTCGAAAGACTTGGAAGCCCACAATAGCGTAACGCTGTGGAGGGTTCTGGGACATGAAGGGTTTGAAGGCAACGAAAGGGCTTATTCTCGCAAAGCATGGAGCCCAAATGCGCTTGCATGGTCCCTAGCCTTTTGGAGCTGGTGGAGGAAATCCCAGAGTCCACATATCATAAATAGCAGACTGATACACCTTGGGGAACTATCTTCTTCATCCAAAATTTGAAACATGGCGCCCTCCAAAGGGCTGGAGTATTACATTTACGGTTAAGCACAATAGATGTTCTTAGGTCGCAGCGCGAGTATCCCCGACGAATAATAATAATAATATGTATGTCGTCACCTAAATGCAAAAAGACGTAACAACAGCTCAGCTGAAGTGGAAAAAGTCGTGACTCAAAATTTGTATTTTTTTCATTAAATGATGTGGGAGTTGTAATTCGATGAAATCCATCACATCAATCAAAAACTGAATTTTGAATTTTTTATTAGTTACGACTTTTTGAATTTCAGCGACGATGTTTGTTACGTCTTTTTGCATTTCAAGTGACGACGTGTTAAGAGACAAAAATTTTTGTAAATCTGTACTGTAAAATTAATTGAATATACGTAGTTAATTTGTTTTTGTTGTACTAGCTGTGTTTTTTGATTTACGAAATGTTATGTTTTCTACATTTTTAATAAACATTGACATTGGAAAAAACTAATAAAAAACTTAAAAAATTTTTGGTAGGTTTTGGTTGGTCTTGGTAGGAAATTTTGTTAGGAAAAAAAATTTGTTCGTGGCAACACAGAATATGATGCATATCACCAGTGTTGCCAGGGCTTCGGCATGAGAAAACGTCCCTCTTGGTCTAAAAAAACGTCATTTTCTACCCAAAAACGTCTTTTTCAAATGCATGCACAAAGAATTGTTCTTATTAAACTTTTATTGTATACAATGGTACATAAGTATGTATGTAAGGTGTATTAAAATGTCATTTCGACAGAGCACATTTACAATTCATTGTAAACTGGTTTGAGATCGTTAATATAAAAATCATTTTATACATACACTTGTGATCAGCTGATTCAGTCATCAACATTTTGATCGATTGTGGCTGTTTTTCTTTTGTTTATTTAATGTTTATTATTTTTCCATAAAAGCTTAGCTCACTATACAACAAACTAAATATAAATCCACATTTCAAACTTTGTGCAAAAATTATAAAAAAATCTGCAAAGTTTCAGCTAGATTTTCAACTTTTATTCAGAGTTTTTTTAGAAAATTTTTTTTGAGTATTCAGCTTAATACTCGTAGTCCATAAAATTCCAGGGTATAATGTGCAAGTTATAAGTTGCTAAAGAATCGCGTTGATTTTTGATATTTTTTCTTGTAGACATTTGGTTATGTGGTCGGTTGTCGAAAATGCTAAATTACGTTCTGCTAAGAAGGAACATAGCAATATTTCAGCCTTTTTTGTGTATATTACATTTTCAATGAAGCCTTAAAAAAGTCGCCTACTTTTTTATGACTTTTTATGCTGCTACAGTTTTTTTTGTTGCGTTTGCGAGCGTGCGAGTTGCAATAGATCAGCTCTTCCTGATAAGGCTTTTAATGTGCAATTGCAAACATTGCAATAAGCCTCTTAACCTCAAGTGTTCACAAAACCAGCCAAGAATCCA